GTATATATATATATACTAGAAATTATTAAAATCAAACTTATTAATATATTTCTGTCAACATAACAAATATTAGGATAAAGTTATATATAGCATAAACTCATATGGAAAAATATTTTTAGTTAAACAACACTATATATATTTAAATAAAAGAAATATATTTATATTTTTTTCGTGACCTTGCTCTTTCTTTTCATAACGTCTAATTAATTACATCCTCTATTTCATATTAACTGAGTTTTCTGGATCTTTTTAATTGTTCAAAATAATTGAATTGTCCCAAGTTCAAGGTAGATGTTTGAATTTTTTTTCATATTTGCTCTTTTCTTTAATGGAGTTTGATATTTTTTAAGAGATAAATTGCACTACTTACAAAGTTATGTTTATGATTTACAAAAGATAATATTGAAAATTATGGTTTAAATTATGTCCTTCAATTTATTTATTTTAATAAATATGCGTTGTCTCACAAATTCAGTTAATATAGAATAAAGAGAGTGTAAAAAAAACAATTGAACTATTCTTCAATAAGTGTTGGATCCTTACTGTTATTAAGACTCTACTATTTCATTCATTCATTTTCGGTGCAAAGCCTTCCAGCTAGGGAACTCTTCATCGTAGAGAATTCTTCTTTCAATAATTTCATTTATATCTTCAAAAAATGTGACCGTGACTCATAAAATTTTCATCGATCGTCTTATGACTATAAATATTTTGATGATGTGGAAGACACACAAACACATTGAATTTTTAACTCATGAATCATAGTAATAAGCCATGAGAAACTTAATTCGAAAATAAAATTATTAAATACTACAAATAAAATCTCGGCATTAGTTAAAAATACTTTTAGGATCATTTTAGTCCAACAGAAATGAGAGAGGACATTGCTACTTGATCTTTGGTATACTTTCGAGATTCATGTGTAACATCTGCAAAAAAAATAAAAATATCCTTCATTTTCTCAAATATAATAAACATTGAGCAAAATTATACAATATATGATAGTTTAATATTAATTTTATAACACTAAACAATACTAATTACCGCAAAATGTTCGAGTTCTACACGTTTGTTAATAATTTTCTCCACTTGAATATTTTCTTGTACAAAAACTGGCCAACGGGACCCACATCTATTATATAGTATAGGCATTATACAATGGGTCCCACTATATTCACTGTCACTTTAGTGTAGGGCATTTTCCATAATTTTTATAGAAAAGAAGGTACTTTTTTTTAAGTCATTAATATTGTGCAAATATCAAAACACAAAAGACAGCCTTTTCAGGCAAACTTTATCTTATAAAATGCTTTATAGACAGTTATACCCTTACACTTTTCACTTAATGTCAAAAAATCTGACATGACGCTGCCTCAAACTCTCTCTTCTAATATATATATAATATATAATACTAGATTTTGTTGTCCGTGCTATGCACGGGCCCAATAACATAAATGATATATTTTGAGGCTAATAACGAAATTTTTGAAGCGATTATTTGCGTGGATAAAGTAATAAGTTTTTTTATCACAAACCTGTACTTTCTTTGACGCTATTCAAGGCACAATAAGACTACCCACATACAACATTTTTGAACAATTTTATGTTGTCAATTATCACGATTTAATTTTAAGAATCAGTCAATTTTTTTT